CTCGGATTTACTTTTACTATAAAAACGTATACGTTGAAATACACACTGTCAATCGTGTTTTTATATTTTTAAAAGTCTAAGGTAATAATTGCCTTATAATATTCGTCGTTACATTTTTATACTGTATCATAATCTTGGAATGTTACTGGAATTGGAAAATTGATCGCTTTTCGTATAAGCGGCTACATTATAAGTTGAATTAATTTTACAAACTTCAGTATAACGCTTCGAGGAAAAACGAAAAGCAAAATAGAAATTAATTTTCTACAGACTTTTTTAACATAAATATATGTATACGTAGTATAAAATAAAATTCAAAGTCACGATGGTAATGAGAAAAAGTCTGCATTTATGAAATGCTTACAGCTATAGTCCACCGAGCGTTTCGAATCTGACAAATTTTGAACGTTTTACAAATCTCGAATGTTTCGAAGAGCTAAAACCGTTACCTCCTGCGTAAACTTTCCTGAATGACTGTAGACGATTGTTTCACATCGAAGACGCGCCACTAACGATTACTACATCTACGATTAATTCCTCATTTTCGTACGCAGCAGCACAAGGAAGAAAAACACAAGCGGAATCTCGCGTACAAAAGAAATAGAAATGTTAATGTAGGAAAACATGACGACGTACGATATTCGTTCCAACAGAATTCTCGTCCCGGAGCAAAAGAATACCTGGAAAGATTCGCCGGAATATTCCTTACGTGACTCGCGAAACATGAAATAAGTTATGTAATTGGGATAGCATGCGTTCGAGCAACAAATGCAATCGCACGATGTGAAATTTTTAGAAAAGTGCTAGCACGTGACTATTTCGTTCAATTATGCGGCACACTCTGTATAATCATCGTTACACGTGAATTACCATTTTTCTATAATTGAACTGCCGTTGCAATTCTCGCGTGCAGTTTACGTTGAACGGTAGAAATTCATCGTGCAGCTTTTCCTTCGATTTTGCCAAAGAAACGAGAGAGAAGAGGGAAACAGGTGGAAAACGAAAGGAGGATATTTGTCGTGCATTTATGTGAGCAAAGGTAACAAATAAAGCGATATGTTTTGTTTTCTAAGAGAAACATAGCTGCACCACGTTCACTTTATCCTTTAGCCTTGTTCCAAATACCAGAGCGTAGGAAATTTTGTATATTCGTTAATTCGGAAATTTCGCGACGCCTGGTTTCGACGTTGATCGACGATCGGTAAAACGAAGCATCGCCTTCTTCGCGAACCAAATTGCCAAAATGGTTTCGTCGGTGAAACAAGATGGTTTATTGCTTTTTTCATCGCGTTAAGAAGACGCTGCGTGTTTACTCTTTCGTTGATGAAAATGAGAGAATTACTTTGTCGGGGTTGGAATCGTCCCAATATGGGAAGCAGATTTTTAGACGGAAACGAGTTACCATTAAACCCTTTCGCTCCGAAGAACGTGTACGGGGTGTCTGAAAAGGTTGAGGCTAAACTTATACTACACGTTAACGAGGTCGGGTAGGTGAAAAAAGTTCGTATAAACTTATGTCCGAAAATGCTTCATTGAAAAGTTACAAGCGTTCAAAGATTTTTGAAATTTCTTCCTTCTGCAAGAATGTAGGCTTGCAATCGTTGAACTAATAACTGTCGAACTCTTTCGAATATAAATAAATTTTTAATACATTCCCAAAACCTGGTCTTCTATTTCTATCGTATTTTCATAAACCAACTGTTTCGCGTGACCCTATAAATACAAGTAAAGAGGCGTTAGATCTTAGATCCATCGACGAATGGAAGCCTACATTCTTGCAGAAGAAATTTCAAAAATCTTTGAACGCTTGTAACTTTTCAATAAAGCATTTTCGGATGTAAGTTTATACGAACTTTTTTTACCTACTCGACCTCGTTAACGCGTAGTATAAGTTTGGTCCCGACCTTTCTGAACACCCTCTGCATCGTACGAAAGATTAATATTAATTACCCTTTTATCCTTAAACATTTTTAATATTTCATTATTTTAAAATGACGATATTCCGAAGAATGTGTTCATATAAATTGTGTTATTTTAAAAGGATAAATTCGAATTACTTTAATAAATTTCATCGCGAAGTATAGGCAACATAAAACGCAATCGTATGTCGCGTCGTACGCGCTCCGTATGTTAGTCTCGATTTGTCAGCGACGTGCTCCACGGCGATCACATTTTGTCGCTAACGCGCCAAAGCGAAAGGGTGAAATTTAGCTGAATGAAAACAGACGATTCTTTTTTTCTAATTTGTACATATTGTTGTATGATTTCTTTTTGTTTCGAAGGTCTTCGTTTACGGTGATGTTCAATTTATTATCTCGGGAGTAAGTATTTATTGTATAGGATATTAAAAAATGACTATCTCGTGCAAAATAAACGAGTTGTTGAGGATTTCGAGAATATTGTAACTCCGCTTTAGTATTGGAATCGTTCAAGTTATTAAAAGTAGCACTCCATTTTACTATGAGTCTGATTGTGCACAGAAGATACGTTTGATACAACGATGAACGATGTTTGAAAAAACATTTTTATATAGACAATTTTATTAGACAATTATAGATATTTCATCACTTATTCGTTTCTCTGAAAAGTCTTGCACTTACGTTTCAAGTACACTTCAATTAAGATCAGATTTTGTAAGCGGAAGCAGATCTTAGAATGTTATATTACACAATATCCATTGAATTCTCCATTGAATTTTCAATAAAGAATTCGATAAAAATGTATCAACGTAGTAATAATTCAAACGTATAATCGCATTTTCACAAAATGCGTGTCCAAATTTTTCCCCACCTTCCTACTATGGTCTCAACAAGAATCGCGTGAATCTGGTCTGGTATATTTAAATTTTCTATGCAAAAGGCATAAAGAGAAAATGAAACTTGTGCACTGAAATATGCAAAAAAAAAAAAAAAAAAAAAAAAAATATCTAATGGTAATACTAATGACAGTAATTAATCACACGAGTCACGATAACAGAAAAAATATGAACTTCCTTTTATTTCTTTCAACGACCAATTTCCTAACGTAAGTGCCTAATGTACCCTGTGACGTTATTTGCAGAGCAACATTATCGAGTATTTGTCGACACATTCACTTGGCCAGCATGACAGTGAAAAGTGTTAAAACAAAATTGGTCCCGCCGGACGGAGGATGGGGATGGGTCGTCCTTTCTTCAGCTCTCGTCGTGAACTTCCTTATTCCGGGGACTGTGAAGTCGTTCGGTGTCCTTTTCGTCGAATTTCTTCACGTCTTTAAAGCATCCTCTACCGCAGCCTCCTGGATGCCAGCTTTGTGCTACTTTCTATACAACTCTCTAGGTACATGATTTTTTTTACATCACTGTCTCGCCGCCAATTGGAGGTACGTGTAACGATAAAACTTCTTCAATTGACGTTGTTGCACTCTCAAGGGAGGATTCCCTTAATTTGAATAAAAATATAAAACTCGTTTTTGCTTCTTTGTTTTTTCTTTTTTTCTTTTTATACACTTTGTTTACGTCAACTGCACGTGTGTGGTTATTAGCGAGAATTACTTCGAATAAAGATACATGGTCTTTGGAGTAATTACAAGCTATTGTAGAGTGTTATGTTCTTCAAACATCTGAACACTTGCGGCGATTTATGGCAGTTTTATTTAAACTTTCATTTAAAGTTTTATCAAATTTACGTTTACGGCGGCATTCAGAGTAAGTATTTGGAACACTCGAGGATGAGGTGTTTGATTGTTGGTAGACGGTTATAGTATGTATGTGTTGTATATTGGTGGATCTAACTTGCAAGGGACAATTTGCAAATGTCACTCACCGATTTTGATGAAACTTACGTGTGTAAGTTACGTACATATGTAATGTTAGTTCTCAAAGAAATATTTTCCACGTATTCTTTTCTTTCTTTTTTTTTTTTTATTAATTTGCAACTTTACCGAACTCTGGATACAGGTAATGCTGCTAAAGATGCCAATTTCTTTACTAAAATCAACCCTTTTCAGAGCTACCATAATTTAACAAACGTTGAAACTCTAGGTTGAATCTTTTCGAGGTACCAAATAGTTCTCAACTAATTGTTCTCCATATCTACTATGCCAGTGAATGTTATATTTACCTGAATTGCTCATTCTTATCATTCGAGGATTAATTACCCATACCCAACATAATGTAATTGCTTGAAAAGTCATACAAGTCTATAACTTTCACGACCATAAGTAATCCTACACTATATTTTGCACAGAATGTAATAATTTTTTATTATAATGCAAAAAATCAGAATTCCAATTTATCTGTACATAAATTTATGTGAAAAATTAACAAATAGTACTAAGTTTTAATGTATTGTTTAAACAATTAGATTTTTCTAAAAATTGATTACGTAGGTCATTGGTTGTTAAATAACACGCAAGTTTTACACAAGTTGTAAATTGTTTCTCTAACTCTAATAATTTGGGTATTGTATCAAATAGGTTTCGACATCCCAACTTTGAGGGCTGTTTTCACCCCTTTCATCAAAATCGTTAAGTATCACTTAGGGATAGTCCCTCGTTAGAAATTAGTTGTGCCAAATTAATGAGATCCCATTATACCTACAACCGAATGAAAAGTGTTCACAAATTTTTCACTGTATCGTTCCCCTATCTCAGACTGTTTTTCGCTACTCCAACGCTATATTAAGTGTACATAAATAATATTTTATAGGTCCATTGTCGAGCATCTTATCTACCAAGTACTCTTACAAAACAGTAACTATCATCGGTGGCGCTTTTGCGGCTTGTGGAATGATGTCGAGTTACTTTGCTAATTCAGTTTCCTACTTGTACATTAGGTAAGATAAAATTACTATCAGAATCTTAGTATTTTTACCATAATTCTCTAATCTTATTCATATATAAGATATTACATGGTAGGATGGAAAGAAAAATTAAGAAAGTTCATATAAATGTTTAAATTTGACCTTGTTCCAATGTTAGATGCATTTTTGTGTAACTGTCTGCCTTTAGAGGAAATGTATGAAATGGACACCCTGGACCTGAAATAATTGTATTGTAGAATTCTTCAATCTTTCAAAAATTCCAAATGTTTATGGAAAAAAATCAAGAAGTCATTGAACATTATATATAAACAGTTTAACAGAATCAGTTCAAAATTGAAGTTCAAAATGGCTAAGGCTGAGGAGCAAGGTCAAACATCCTGCATAAAGTGTCCAAATATGAGCTGTTTGAATTAGTGAATGGTAGTATAGAATATGATAGTTTAAAAGAAAATATGTTTTTGAAGTTTTCAAAGTTACCTTATATTGTTTAGTTTGAACACTGCATTTATAAAGTTAACATCATGAAAGAACAAAAAGAGAAGTATAAAAGATTACTTGGAAAATGCTTTTAAAAGGAAAAATTATTGAAACAAGCAAGCATCAAATTTTTTGTAATTTTATTTCAATTTAAATCTAGTGGGTTAAGAAATTGGCTAATGAGTTCATCTAGTTTAATACCTAAATTATTTTTCATTGGAATATATAAATAGTTTTGTTTCAATATTAAATGTTCTCCATTAAATTTTGCTTACTTCGATAAGTTCTCCTTTAAAGGTCAGGTCCATTTCAAAAGTAATCTGTTTAATTCATCTTTCTCTTTTACACTGTATCTAGATGTTACAATAAATCATTAATAATTCTAGAAAAATGTTATTTTACATGGATTCATTGTAATGGTAATTGTGTCTTTTATAAAGCAGAACAAAAAATGTATCTGCCTTTTAAAGAACATAATCTATATGAAATACAAATAAAATAGCTAAAATATCTGGAAAGAAGTAACATTAATTAAAACTTGTTTTACATATATAGTTATGGCTTAATGGTTGGAATTGGAGCTGGGCTAACGTTTCCACCAACTGTGTATATTGTGACAGCATATTTTGAGAGACTTCGAGGTTTTGCTAATGGCCTGTGCATCTCTGGTAGTGCAATTGGAACTATTGTTTTACCACCATTTCTGCAATATCTTCTTGATTGTTTTGGATATAGGTAATGCACGTATAGATTAAAGACAATGTATGAATAATTTGTGTTTCTTAAAAAATATAAAAGACTTCCTTTAAAATAAAATTGAGAATACAATATTTCTTTATATTTAAGTGAAGATACTTCTGTGAAAGTAAAACAGACACCAATATAGTGGCATATTTGGGTAATATATTTAAAATTTCAAGTAATATTTCTTTCACTATATATGTCTTATAATCGCTTCAAATTATCATATAAGTATTATGGATATTCTATACAACCTGTTAATTGTAATAATGTAATCAATAATAGAATAGTACCTATTTCACATTCTTATTTTGGATATGTCTTATAATGTTCATTAGATCATTTTTTCATTATTGCTATTACACTGAACATTATTATTATTATTAAAAATTTTAACCATTTTATATTAATGCAAATTCAAGAATATTGTAAATGTAAGAAAATGTACATTTCTAGAAGTTCAAGACAATGTTATTTACTTTTACAGAGGTGCAGTATTAATTATGGGTGCAATCACATTAAATACATTAGTTTGTGGTTTACTATACCATCCTGTTGAACAACATATGATAACAGTACCAGTAGAAAGAGGAATTGATAATGAAGGATTAACAATAGATGAACCAGTTCTTGATCACAAAAAACAAACAGGTAACTTAACAAAATTCCATGCAATATTATAAAATACCATAATTGCAAAGAGTAACAGTTAGTTTCAACTAAACTTTAAATCTTGTGTAAATCTTTTAATAACAGTATCCACTATTACCGAAAATGAAACATCATACAGTGATACAAGATTAAAGAAAGAAGATAACTGTCAAGCTGAAAATGCAGTAAGTGACTCTAAAGTAAACCACAGTTCAGAAGATAAAAATGATACAACTGAAGATAAAACTGAAGATAAAAGTGAAGATAAAAGTGAAGATAAAAGAAAGGAAATAAAAAAAGGAGACACTTTTGACAAAAAAGATATGAGCTTTAACAAAGAAAAGGGAAACATTGTAAATTATCACCAAAGTATGGATTCACTACGACGAGGAAGTAATACTTCTGAAATCAATATAACATCTAATAAGTTAAAAATTGAAAATCCAGAGTTGAATAACCAGTTGCAGATTAAAAATAAAGATGAAAAGGTTTCTGAAAGTTCAAAAAAAGATTTAGGAGAACTGTCAGAAAAGCCAGTTTCTAGGACACCATTCTCCAAATTAGAAGCAAGTACACGACAATTCTTTGACTTGAGTGTACTTAGGGATCCAATTTATTTAGTGATTCTGATTTCAAACTCCACCTCAGCTATCAGCAATACCAATTTTATGATTCTACTGCCTTCTTATGCTATTTCTCAAGGTTTTGATAAAAATTCTTCGGCTTTGCTTTTATCGGTTGTTTCTGCTCTTGATTTAGTTGGAAGAATCAGTGGTGCTTCACTGTCAGATATTGATTTTGTGCCAAAATATTACTATTTCGTTGGTGGTCTTGGTACTAGTGGAATAGCTTTAGCACTATTACCTATGGCAACAAGTTATACAATGCTTTCCTTTTTTTGCGCATTGTTTGGATTATCTTCGGGTATGTACATCGGTATCACAACTGTAATTCTAGCCGATATGCTTGGCACAGAAAAACTTAGTTCATCTTATGGAATATCTTTATTCGTTAATGGAGTTCTTCAATTAATTGGTCCACCTATCTGTGGTGTTGTTTTTGAGGAAGTAGGAACATATAAGCCTATTTTTTTAACTTTTGGTATTATACTTATTCTTGGCACTGCACTGTGGGCAGTTGTACCTCTTATAAAAAGGAGTAGTAAGAAAAATTTACAAGTTGTATAACATTTCGTAATTATTAGTTTTATATAATGAATATTGCACAACTTTAGAAATTATGAAGTATTATAGACTTTTTAATATCAGCATTATAACTGCCATCTAAGATTTATTATGAATATTTCACTTTTTATCACTGAAAGCTGTAAATTAATCTCTGTATTCAAAGATGTATAATAGTGCATATTTAGTATTATTATCCTCCTGAATACTGATATTACAACAATTTTATGTATGTATATTGATATAGTTAATAATTTATAGTCTAGCCATCAGTCTAGTGAGTCTACTACACTTCTGTTTATAAAAGAAAATAAGGAAAATTATTTAAAAGTTAAAGTAATTGTATTGTTGTTAGACATGTGTTATTATTATCTAATAGTAACAACATATGCTATATAGTAGCAGATTCAACTTTTTTACTATCATGATTGTTAATGAGCATATATGAAGTTAATGATCAAATTATGAAGAAAATAAAATGAATGAAATAAAAAAAAAAAAAAAAAAAAGAATAAAGATTAAAAGAAAGAAAAGAGTAACATCAGCACTAGCAGTATATAAATTGTATAATTTTAAAATTTTAAGCTACAGCTATAGCTGTACATTCACTGTACTGTATACATTCCATAATGAATAGTACAGAAAATAATTATATTAGTAATTAAAGGACATTTTAATGTAACAGGTGTTGTAATACACAAATATGGTATTGTCAATGTTTAGTACTTTTTTAAGTAGGCTAGTAATTAATGAAACTACATAAAGGCAATTATTATATACTTTATAATTAAAATAGGATATAAAATAATCATTTCAAATTGTGTTACTGTTTTTATTAAAAATGGAAAATAATTACAATTTAGTAATACTGAAAAGTATGGTATAAATAATTCATATTGATAATTAAATAACATTTTATGATTTTTATCAAAAATAACTAAGATATTAATGTTATTTTAAAATAAAGATAAGAATGGATTTGTTCTTTTGGTCAAACTTTTTAGAATTTCATATAATTGTACCAAAGTAAAATTTTGTATACTCTTATCAATTTTCAACAATTTCGTGGTGCTTTACGTTGATGGTTCATCTTTTTCTATCATTAGAGTATGCTCTATGCACGTATTACCGAGTTATATACGTGCTCAAAAAACATCTTACAATTAGTATCATAAATATTAAGAATTATTATTGTGCAATATTTCTACTACTATTGAAATTTTGCAAGTGGTACATGTGTGTGAACATGTTCTAATAATGAACACATATTGTTATATATTTTATTAGGATTACATAAGGAAGAAGTCACCTCTGATAAATGAAATGAATTGTTTTATGCATCGAAAATACATTCCTTACAATTAAATCTGCAATTCTTATTTTTTGAAAAATGTTCTGTAATACTTTAATATAAATGTAATACTTTAGCATTAAATGCATAAGGTAGATGAATACAACAACATAAGTATTTTGTATCATAACTTATATCATAAGCTACTACTATCATAAAAAGGTATTGCAATAATAGATTTATCACAAAATCGTCTTAATAACATTTATTAGACATTGCATCATTTATTATACGTGCATAGAAAATTTTAATTACTTATACCAAATACTCAATTTTTTTATTTATGTTAGTTATAGATCATCACATATAGTATGATTTAACAACATTAATTACCAATAATTTGGATTCCTGTGCACATACC